TGGATTAAAGTTTAGGAACACACATATAAATTGTCTTAAAACACAAAATCTGATATAGCTTTATAAAACAACTTGAGCTCCTGTTATGTGCTAGGCCCTATCCAGGGTACAAGGAAGGATCTGAGGTTAATGAGAATATTGGTCTCTTTGTCATAGGGACCATATGTCAGTCTGAGTACAATGTATGACAAAAGAAAATGGTAATAGTGGTGCATGCTAAGTCGCACATTAGACTATAGAAATTCATAGAGTGGGGCCAAATGTGATGGCTCCCACCTGTAATCGCAGCACGTTGGGAAACTGAGGTGGATTAGTTGAACCCAAAAGTTTGAGACCAGCCCGGGCAACATAGAGAGACCTCATCACTACAAAAATAAAATTTAAAAATTGCCAGGCATGGTGGTACATGCTGTAGTCCCAGCTACTCGGGAGGCTAAGGCGGAATGGTTGCCTAAACCCAGGTAAGGCTACAGTGAGCCTTGATCATGCTACTGCCCTCCAGCCTGGGTGACAAAATGAGACCCCAATTCAAAAAATAATATTAATATAATTGATAGATTAGAGAGGTCATTGGAGCTGTCATGGTCAAGGAAAGCTTTCTGGGAGAAATTAGAAGGTTAAAGATAAAGAGAATCAGAGAGGGAAGCTGATGAGAGTAAGTACTTCAGGCAATGGAATGCAAGATAGAGGGCCTGGAATGGTGTGTTATTAGAAGATAGTGTTGGAGGCCAGGGGAGTTAGTTAGACTTAAATGGCAGCCTGAGCAGTTGAGGCTATATTCTGTGAGCTTTTGAAGGTTCTTGAACAAAGAAATTGTATTAAAGAGGAAATACTTCAGGCAGATTCATTTCCCTTGTGTCAGGGATTCAGATGGGCTTGAGGAACAAAGTCCAGTGGCCTCCTTCCCCAAATCCCATCTCCCTCCTAACCCTCCTTCCCTCCCTTCCTTCCTTTTGTCAGTCTCACTGTGTTGCCCACGCTGGAGTGCAGTTGCACAATGATCAGTGGCATAACGATCATCGCTACTACAGCCTCCATCTGCTGGGCTCAGGCGATCCTTCTGCCTCAGCCCTCCTGGTAGCTGGAACCACAAGCGCACGCCACCATACCTGGCTAATTTTTTGATTTATTGTAAATACAAGGTCTCGCCAAGTTGCCCAGGCAAATCTCAAACCCCTGGACTCAGGCAATCCTTTCTCCTCACCTCCCAAAGTGCTGTGATTCTTATTCTGACTTTTATTTTTGAGTCAAGGTCTTACTCTGTTGCCCAGGCCCCAGTGCGGTGATATGATCACGGCTCACTGAAGTCTTGACCTCCTAGGCTCAGGCAATCCTTCTACTTCAGCCTTTCATATAGATAGGACTACAGGTGCATCACCTGGCTTATGCTTTTATTTTTTTGTAAAAATAAGGTCTCACTATGTTGCCTAGGCTGGTCTTGAACTCGTGAGCTCAAGCAGTCTTCCACCTCAGCCTCCCAAAGTGCTGGGATTATAGGCATAAGCCATCATGCCTGGGTAACTTTTGTTTTGTTTTGTTTTTGCTTGTTTGTGGGTTTTTTTTGTTTTGTTTGTTTGTTTGTGTCAGAGTCTCACTCTGTTGCCCAGGCTGGATTGCAGTGGCATGATCATGGTGCAGTGGCTACTACAGCTTCGACCTGCTGGGCTCAGGCAATCTTTCTGCCTCAGCCTTCCAAATAGCTGGAATTACAGGTATGTACCACCACACCCAGCTAATTTTTTTGATTTACTGTAGAGACAAGATCTTGCCAAGTTGCCCAAGGTGGTCTTGACTTCCTGGGCTCAGATTCTCGCCTCCACCTCCCAAAGTGCTGGAATTGCAGGCGTGAGCCATCGCACCCAGCTCTGACTTGTTTGTAAGCGAGTTCTTTAGTGTATCTGTATAAAGTGATATAATGCTTTGCATTTTGTTTATCAAGAGTGTTCAATAACCAGGCTCGGTGGCTCAGCCTGTAATCCCACGCTTTGGGAGGCTGAGG